TAGTACAATATAATCTATCTAGGTTTTTTGTCCACTGCAGAGCCTTTTTAATGGTAACATAATGGTCCCTTGGGGCTCAGTCCTGTCGCCCCCGCCCTGTTATCACTGGGACCCCCCATTGTGATGGTGTTCGCAGGGGTCTTCAGATGAGGCAAGAGCAGAGGATGCTGACTCCATGTTTCAGAAGGCTGATTTATTATTTTATGCTATATATATTATATTAAAACCATACTAAAAGAATAGAAGGAAGGATTTCATCAGAAGGCCAGCTAAGAATACAAAAAGAATGAATAACAAACGCTTGTGACTGACCAAGACAGTCCGGACAGCTGGGCTGTGATTGGCCATTAATTAGAAACAACCACATGACACCAATCACAGATGCGCCTGCTGCATTCCACAGCAGCAGATAACCATTGTTTACATTTTGTTTCTGAGGCCTCTCAGCTTCTCAGGAGAAAAAATCCTAAGGAAAGGGTTTTTCAGAAAATATCATGGCTGCGCCCCATTATCACCAAGGACACCCCTGAATTTACCAGGGCCTTCCCTGTGGTGAGACGCACAGCTTTAGCCAGGGCCCCGTGGAGAATCTGAATAATAGAAATGCTGACACAGCAGCAAAGAAACTTCCTGACTCCAGGGACATCCGCCCTATAACCTATCCCTAAACCCATGTAAGGCAATATCTTGTTAACCCTACTATTGGTCACTTATGGTCCCTCTAACCTTTGCCATTGGTCAAGATTGGAACTGGGCCAAGGCTATAAAAGTAGCATACTGTACCCCTACTAACTTAGAAGAAGAAGTGCTGAGACCCTTCACGGACCCCTCCAATAAAGCCATACTTGTGGAACAGCCGGCATCTTCTCCTTCTCCTCTCTCTACCGTCTGCTGGAGCTTTAAGCCAAGGGCAAGCTACCTAGCAAGCAAAGTTGAAATCATAAGAGCTGGCTAATCACTATAAGAGCTGAATATTCCCTGCTTGCTAGGGGCTGACCCGCGGCCTTGGTCTGAGCGAGCTGGCCTCTGGCACTCAGTCCCCTTGGGGGCTGAGCTCTGGAGCTGTAATAACTTGCCCTAGGAAAAGACCAATTAAGGCTCATTACTCCCCCATGCACTGGGACCCCTCCTTCACTGCCCCCCCATTCACTGTCCCCCCAAAGTGCTGGGACCACCCTGATCCATGAGCCCCACCCAGAGTGTCAGGACACCTCTTGGCCTCCCCCGAATCCCCAGCTTGCACTGGGCCCTGCCAGGGCCAGGCTGGCTCCAAAACCCTGCGTGGAGCCATTCAATAAATGCCAATTGGTCTTGTAGTCATGCCCACAGAGGGGGAGGACTGCTCGGGGCGGCCAGTGGGGAGCGACGGAGCAGGGAGGGGGCAGGGATTGAAAAGAGTTAGAAATGGGACTGTGGGAAATGGGGCGGAGCCCAGTGAGTGATGGCCGATGGGGAGATGAGAGGCCTGGGGGGCTGGAATAGGAGCGTGGGAAGGGGCAGGCAATGAATGGGGTGTGGAAAAGGGGCGGTGCCTGGACAGAAACAAAAGTGGGCGGTGCACAGCAGGTGTGGAATGGGGATCATTCTGGATGATTTTCTCTCCTTTCTCGAACACTTTTGCTGCCATCTTCCCCCACACAATGATGTCATCAATGTACTGCAGCTGTTCTGGAGCCTCACCCTTTTCCAGTGCAGTCTGGATCAGTCCATGGCAGATGGTAGGACTGTGCTTCCACCCCTGGGGCAGTCGGTTCCAGGTGTACTGCACACCCCACCAGGTGAAAGCAAACTGAGGCCTGCATTCTGCTGCCAGAGAAATGGAAAAAAATGTATTAGCAATGCCAATGGTGGCAAACCACTTTGCTGCAGATGGGGCTGTTGAAGGGTGAGTGGGTTTGGCTGACCACCCCTTGACACTCCAGCTCATGGATCATTTTGTGGATGGGGATCACGGCATCCCAATTCATCCAATACTGCCGGCGGTGCACTGTCAAGGTGGCAATTGGTATTTGTTGCTGTTCTCCCCCCACGAGTCCTACTGCAGATGGGTTTTCTGATAGTCCAGCCAAGGTGTTCAACTGCTTTATGATCTCTGAATCTACAGCAGCTATTCCAAAAGCCCACCTGAGTCCCTTTGGGTCTTTGTAAAGCCATTTCAGAGGACGTCTATGCCCAGAATACATGGGCCAGTCACAACAGGATGTTTCTGGGAAGGATCCACTCCTTCCCAGTCAGGCTCACCTCAGCTCCCAACAGGGTCAATTGCTGAGATCCCCCCGTCAATGGAAACAGGTTCTGCCCCCACATGCCCTGATGGTATCAGGGTACACTGCGCACCAGTATCAACTAAGACATTGTATTTTTGTGGTTCTGATGTGCCAGGCCATCGGATCCACACCGTCCAAAAGATCTGGTTTTCCGTGCCTCTCCCTGGCTACAGGCAGGGCCCCCCTTTCCTGGGCATACATGCTAGAGGTACCTTCACTTTAGTGGAACTCCCTTGGTTAGTGTTTCCCTCCTTGAGTTGATGCACCCGTGCTGCCAGGACAGAAGTGGGTTTCCCATTCAACCTTCCCATGTGTCATGGTTTGACCCTGGCACAATGCCAGTGCCCCCATGAGAATACCCTCTCCCTGGTGTCTGCTGTGAGATGTCACCAGGAATAAGCAAAGCAGGCTCCTGCTTAGAAATAAAGAAAACTTTATTAAGTAAGCTACAAGAAAAGAAAAAAAAAAAACACAAGGAAAACGAAAACTTTACAAAAGCATTTTCCTCCTCCCACCCAGCAAACTTCCCAATGCAATACATTCCCCCCAAATCACCAACTCTCAGTCCGGCACCACCCTTTAGAATACTCAATCTTCAATTCATCAAGAGGAGAGGAGTCCTTCTTGCACCATAGGCTTCCCCTGGAAACACGCTGAAACCTCGTGTGCTTCCATGTCACTCAGCACCGCCCGGAAAATCCTTTGCCATCGTGACACCTTCCTTCCATGCCCCGTGCTCTCACCACTGTGCATGGACCAGAGCTGCTTCTAGGGTTGTCTTTCAAGGATGCCTTGTCTCACTCCAAAAAGGCAGAGTCTCTCCTTGGGGACATCTGTCCCCCCCAAATTTTTTGCATCCCTGGGGCTGAGGGGTACCCACACTGAACCCTCCTGGTTCTGAGGCACTCCCTCCCCCTAAATGCAGTCTCTGTGTCACAGGAAAAAAATGGTTCCATCTATGGCCACACAAGAAAAGTCCAGCCAAAAGGCCACTCCGTCATCTCTCCCCCGCACTCAAGAGTCTTCTGCACTTCCCTTGTGGCCCATCCCCTCTTATCTCATCTCTTATCTCTCTTCTCATTAAGCTCCAGGAGGACCAGCATTTGCAAGGTTTCTATCATGCAAGAAAAGGGTTAAAAATTTCAGTCTCATGCCTGTCTGGAGCTCCAGAACTCCCACGCTGCCCTGCCGGGCACCTTCTCGCCGCACCCCCCCCTTCTCCTCCTGGGCTGGCACCGCTATCAAATTCAGATGCCGGCTCTCTCGCTCTCTCTCTGCCCTGCAGGGGGGGGGTGGGGGGTGGCTGCCTGATGTCTCTTGGTGCTCCTTCACCATTCCATCCTCCAGGGCCTCCTCACCTCCCATCTCTGTCCAGGCCCAGGCCTACCACATGGCTGCCCCTCCCCCGCCCAGCAGCAGCAGCTGGACGGGGGAGGGAGATTCGACCACTTTCCCTCAAAGTCCCAAGAGAGCTTCCCAGAGGAGCAGCTCTGGTTTTTAACCCCTGTGTGTTCTCAGAGGTGTCTCCGAACCTCAGTGGCTACATCAGGTGCCAATGTCAAAACCTGAGCATATATTGGTAACCACAGCATATCCCAAAAAAAAACCCCTACTTCCTGTCAGTGAAACCACGACAAAATTGTACTCTATCAAAATCAGTGTGATTAAGAAAAATTTGCAGAAGTCAATACATAATAGCAAAAGCCAACACTACCCAGTTATTTATAACAGACCCAGGGGAGGTTTTTCCCTTGCATGAAGCGCTTGGGCCTTCCCCGGGCCCCTTCTGCCCTTGTGCAGAGCCGGTGGCATTTTCCAGCACACCCAGTTTGTAACCAAGAGCCGGGTGCAGCCGAGAAGGCTCCAAGCGCCTCCTTCCAGGCTGACTCTGCAGGTGCCGAGGCTGCTCTGGGCTCTGCCAGGGCTCTGCTGGGGCTCAGCTCTGGGCCAGGCTGGGCCCGCTCTCCCCTCACATTGCTCCGGGCAGCTGAGGCACAGCGGGAGAAGGAAGGGACACGGCAAGGCAGTTGAGGGTTAAGAGAGTTTTTATTCAAAAAACTGCCATAACAAACAGGCTGTCATAAGAACCATAACTAACTACCAGTGCCAACTACCATAAACTACCTACTAGTGCTAACTACCATAACTAACTAGTTGACCTAACTACTGTAACTGAAAGCTGTCCTCAAGGGCTTCATCTCCTCCGCTGCTCCCTCAGTTGCTTCACTGCAGTGATCAGAGGGGTCAGGCTGGAGAGAGGCTTGGCTGATGATAAAAATGGGTGCTGCCCAAAGGATACAAAGGAAAGAAATGAACTGTTACTTTCCAGAGTCAAGTTCCTCACAGGCTCTGTTGCAACAGGACAAAGGGAAATGGTTTGAAATTCAGGAGGGGGAAGCAGGCTCATATTAGATCTAAGGAAGAATTTTTTAACCAGCAGAGTGGGGAAACACTGACAGAAGGTGCCCAGAGATGTGGGAGGTGCCTCCTCCCTGGAACCATCCAACCTCAGGTCAGGCAGGGCTCTGGGCCCCCTGAGTTGCTTGAAGATGTCCCTGCTCGCTGTGGGGCACCAGGCCCAGATGAGCTCCAAAGGAGCTGCCAAGCCACGGCAGGTGAGGATTCTGCTTGCTCTGCGTGTGGAACGCAGCCAGACTGGAGACATTCGGAGGGGGCCCCACAAGAAAACCCCTCCCTGGCGCTGCTGCTTCCCCTGCAGCCCTTGGCCCTCACCTGCAGCAGCTCCTGGGCAGCCCAGCGCCGCTCCTCGTCCGTCTCCAGGCTGCACTCGAGGCAGTCCCGCAGCAGAGCCGACAGGCGCCGGGGCTCCTGCAGCTGCGGGGTCCCGTTCTGCCGGATCAGAGCGCGAGCCTGCAGGGAAAGCAAACTCAGCGCTCTGCCAGCTCCCTTCACACCCACACGGGCTCACATCCACCCCGGGGCCTCAGCCCCAGCTCCAGGGGCACTTTCCTCCCTGCCACAGATGCTGCTCAGAGCTCATTTTGCTATGCCAACCAAAAAACCCAAACCCTGGGGCTGCCACAGCCACTGCAACATCCAAATGATCTCACCTTGAGAACCAGTTTCATTGGCTGACTCTGTCAGTAGGAACCTCCATCAGAAATAGCACATTTTGCTTCTCCAAACATGGACACCAGCTTTACAGGCCATTTTCCAGAGTCAGTGTGGTCTGCCTGTGTTATTTCAGAGGATTCTTACATCAAGTGCTCTCTGCAGTGCCACTGACACTCAAGTAAATGCATTCCTGATGCCCCATCCCAGAAACTGCCAGGCAAGAAACAGGAGGTTTGTGATGCTGAAAGCTCAGGCTTGGTGACACAGAGAAAGTAGCTTGGACTAGGAAAGAAATATGTCAGACTATGGGGATGTTAAACAATCATCTTCATGTTCTCAACAAGTTTCCCTGTGAGAAGAATCAGGGGGGAGATCATCTTGCAAAATGTTTTTTAGAAGCTCCTGCAGAAACCTTGTTGTGTTTGGGGCTGGGATTTGGGGGTGGTTTGGGGTTTTCTTGCAAGGTAACATTAGACCTGATGCACTTGCTTCACATTTCCAGGTCATCCTCACAGCCAGATGAGCTGCAAAAACATAAATCCCAAAGCAAATTGTTGCTGGAGACTGAAGAATATTCATCTGTGCTGAGGCTGGAGTCCTCTGGGAATTCCCTTCTCATGTGCAGAAACCTCCAGCTGCTGCTCCCAGTGCAGGGTCCCCCTGTGCTCACAGGCCTCTGCAGCCACTGCAGAATTTGCCTCTTACCATGGCCGCTGTTTCCCTGAAGTAAGGAGGTTCTCCTTCCACCATCTCGATGGTCACAGTGCCAAAGGCCCAGATGTCCACCTTGGGGCCATAAGGAGATCTGGTCACAACTTCTGGGGCCATCCAGTGAGCAGTGCCCACCATGGAGCTGCGCTGGTCCTGCTCAGGGCTGAGCTGAGCGCAGAGGCCAAAATCAGCTGAGGACAGAAACAAACCCTGTCAAAGGCAGCTGGAATGAGGAAACCAAGCACCAAGATTCCCCAGTCTCAGTCTGAGAGTGCAGTAGTGAAGTCAGCTGGAAAAGCCCTCAGGGCTGTAGCCAAGGAAAGATGGAACTGGACCCTTCAAGAAACCCTCAGCTTTCATGCAGTGGCTTTTACTGATTCCCTTGGAGCTTTAGATTCCCACTGCTGCCCCTCTGGCAGGGCCATAGGCAGAGCAAAGGCACTGCTGGCACCCTGCTCCTCTGCTGAGCTCTCTGCAGGGGCAGCCGCTCTCAGCTAGCAGCAGGGGCCGGGCAGTGCCCCCAGCAGCCCTTGTGGGGCTCTGGCCCTCCCTGGGAAGCAGCCCCACACCCGCAGCCCGGGAGCGCCGTGCCTGGCCAGGAACACCCACCCAGCCTGACAGAGCCGTCCGTGCCCAGGAGGATGTTGGAGCTCTTCAGATCCCTGTGGATCACCCGCTTGGAATGGAGGAAATCCAGGTCCTGCACACACTGAGAGAGAACAATGTGGTAAATAGGTATGATTCGTGCTGATAAAATTGAAACAGTCATCAATATTGATACAGTAATTAATATTTGGAAATAATAAAACAGTTAAAAGTTGTAATGCCAAAGAAGAAAGGGAGAGGGGGAGCTCTACTCCCCTCTCCTGGCAGATGTTCAAGGATAGGAGGAAAAAGCAAGAGATAACAGTTACTAAAAATTAACTGAGAGAAGTGAACATCTTGTTGGGTCCCAGGAAAATGCCCGCTATAAGAGATTTATTGCTTTGATGCTAAAATGTAGTAATATCTTAGTTTTGGCTTACATTATACTGGCTTGGTGCGCATGTGTAACCCAAAGGTGAATTAAAGGACAATGAAGAAGACTATATGGCCTTCATCAGAGACGACCTCCAAAGACTTGTGCGACCACCAAACCGAGTGGTGGCACATGCGTGGTAAAGGTGGTGAGGAGGGCGGAGACAGAAAAGTGACGAACCAAAAATAGGAGGAGATGGCATTGACACATGGCATATAAGGGGCGACTTTCACTTGGCAAACTTGTACGTGAAGTGGCAAGGGTCATTGAACCCTGCCCTCCGTACCCCGCGGTTGTTTTTGCTTATGCGCTATTATTTGAACCATATTATCCCTTATTTATATATTTGCTAAACTATTTAATTAAAATTGCTGCTACCTTAAATATTATTTGGGGTTTTTTTATGATGGGATTATTGGGCAAACATAACACCTGCAAGCACAGAAGGACACCGGTCAGGGCTGGGCTGGCTGCTGAGAATGCCTCGGGCAGGAGGATCCTCCGGCAACGAGCCCAGAGCCACTCTGGGCACTGAGGCCTCCGTGTCCCACAGCAACGGGAACACCACGGGGACGTGGCGCTGTTCCTGTGACATCCCAGCAGCAGCTCACACAGAAACCGCCTGGAAGGTTCTCCTGTGTCACAAAGGAGCACAAAGAACCCTCCCAGGACACAGCCCATGGCCCAAAGGGTGCAAGAGGAACTCGGAAAATGCAGCAAACAAGGACACCCCACAGCCCAGCCTGAACACTGAGGAGGAACAAGGACGCACCAAACCAAAGGCAACGTGACCTTTAGTCACTGATACTTCTGACTAAAAGCAGCAAGCCTTGTTCCGTCTGGGATCTTTGTTCTAGTTCTAAAAACGAGCAAGGTTCCCCACTCTAAATACACAGAAGGCAGGAACTGGGGAGGAGGTGGGGTTAGGAAGGAGGAGGAGGAGGGACAGAGAGAGGAAAAGGAGGAGCGGGAAGAGGAGGAGCAGGAGCAGGAACACGAGGAACAGGAGGTTCCAGTGCCCCCTGTGGCCGCAGCCGCGGGACCATCGCCCCCAGCTCGCCCTGCTGGTGAGCGGGGAGGGGGAGCTCATCCCAAATTCATCGGGGGGGTCCCTGAGAGGGTTTTTTATTGGGGTGTGTTTGGAGCTTGCAGGTTGTGGAATTGACCCCAAATATCATCTGGTGTCTCTGGGAGGTTTTTTTCTCTGTGTGTGTATGTTTGGATCTTGCAGGAGCCCAAAGCTGAGCCCCTTGGGGGATCTTTGGGGGCCCACAAGGCCATTGCCCAGTATGGGCAGGGGAGGATATTGGTCCTGGGGACCCCCGGGAGAGCAGAGGAGGGGAACCCCTGGGACCCCCAGAGTGGGGAGAGCAGAGAGGGGCAATCCCAGAGCAGGGGGACCCCGGCAGACTGGAAAGAGGGGGAGCCTGGAGAGGAGGGACCCCTGGGATCTCAAAGTAGAACATCAGGGTAGAAGGGACCTCATGGACCCCCAAAAGCCCCTGGATCATCCCTAAGCAGGACGCCGGAGAATGAAGAACCCCTGGAACCATTGGACCCCTGTGATCCCAAGGAAAGGAAACCTCTGGAACCCCAAAAGTGGAGAGATCAGCAATAGGGAGCTCCTGGGAGAGTTTTTTCAGGCTAAATATTGATGTGTGGAGATTTTCATGGACACAAGACTCCTGCTGAGTTCCAGAGATGGACCTGGCCAGGAGGGGCCTCTACTCCAAGGTGCTCCCACCTTGGTTTCCCCCAAACCAGGGTTTGTAATTCCCAAGCTATGGCCAGATGGAGGAGGAGGAAAAGCCCCAGAGATCCCTCACGTGGAGGGGCTGCAAACCCAGCCCAGGGAGCTGTGGGGAGGAAAGAGCCCCTCTAAGGCAGGAAGGTGGCCGGAGATGCAGCCAGAGCTCAGAGCTGGTGGAGAAGCCTCATGGCAGGGAGAAGTCCCACAAGTGCTTGGAATGTGGGAAGGGTTTCAGCTCCAGCTCCACCCTGATGGAACACCTGAACATCCACACTGGGGAGAGGCTCTGTGAGTGTGAGGAATGTGGGAAGAGCTTCAGTGGGACCTCTGACCTCAGCAAGCACCACAAGATCCACAGTGGGGAATGGCCCTAGGAGTGTTCGGAATGTCAGAAGAGCTTCAGGTGGGATTCAGAGATCGTCACTCACCAGCACTTCCACACCAGGGAGAGGCCCTGCGAGTGTCCCGAGTGTGGGAAGAGCTTCGTGCGCTGCTCCAGCTCCATCCCCCATGGGAGGATCCGCGCTGGATGATCCACAGTGAGCCCCGTTGGGCAGAGCCCTGGTGACCCCTGTTCTGGCTGATCAGTGTTGGGCAGGGGGAAGGTGTTGGAGAGATTTCTTTCCCTTCTCCTTGTGCTGCTATGATTTGGTTGGCGATAAATTCCCTCTGTGTGTCCAGGCCGGATCTGTTGTGCCCGTGCGGGATTTGCTGAGGGATCTCTCCCGGTCCTTGTCCCCACGCAGAAACCCTCGGTTCCATTTTCTGTCCCTGTGTGGCTGCGGGGGGCAGGGACAGAGCTGCTCTGGGGGTGCCTGGCATCGGGCCAGCGTCACCGCTCGCCACGGGCAGCCCTGAGATGCCGCGCACCTGGGCCGGCATTGCTGGGCTCACCTGAGCTCCCACCTGCCCAGCGCCCCAAGGTTCCCCCTGCCCAAAAAACCCCCAGCCCGGGGCTGCCGCGTCCCGGAAAGGCCTCAGCCAATGGCAGCGCAGGCAGGAGGAGGCTTAGCCAATGAGCGGTCGGTGCGTTGGATTGCCTCATCGGTTGCCGGGCAGAGCCCGTGGCCGATCGCTGCCCCCAAGCGGCGGCAGCCAATGAGAGCGCGCGGCGCTGCCGAGCCCGCCCTGCTCCGGACGGGCGCTCCCAGCGCAGCGCGGCTGCTTTGGGGCTGCTGCTCCCTGCCCGGCCTCGGCCATGGGGCGAGGGGCGGCAGCTGGGGCCCTGCTGGTGGCACTGGTGGTGCTGGGAGCCCCCCCGGCTGCGGGCGCGGAGCTCTCGGGTGAGCGGGGGGGCGGGAGGCGCTGGGACGGGGGGGAGAAGGGGGAAAAGGGGGCGAAGGGGGGAGCCCGGAATGGAGGGGGAGGAGGAAGGGACCCCCCCAAAGGGAGAGCGGGAGGGGAGGGGTGGGAGAGGGTGGGGAAGCGGGCAAAAGCGGAGGGGGGAGCCTCAAAACTGATCGCAATGGGGCCTGGGGTTTGGGGAATTTCTGGGAAAATGCAGAAATGGCACCCCAAAGTGATTTGGGGAGCGGCCGGGGGTGGGAGGGGAGAGGATGTGGAAGGGGAAATGGGGGAAGGGCGGCAAAGAGGAAGCGGCAGCGCGGGCAGGAGGGTCCCATGGCGGCCGAGGGCCACAGGGGGTGCGGAATGGGGATCCGGGGTGGGCCCGGAGCTCTGGGGGTTCTGGGGGAGGGTGTTGGAGAGGCACCCCCCGATCTATGTTCTGCACACACAGGGGTGTTCCAAAGGATGACCAAGTCCGAGTGTTACTTCATTAACGGCACGGAGAAGGTGAGGTACGTCCAGAGATCCATCTACAACCGGGATCAGTTCATAATGTTCGACAGCGACGTGGGGCACTTTGTGGGGTTCACCCCCTATGGGGAGAAGTTGGCCAAGCGCTGGAACAGCAACGCGGTATTCATGGAGGACAGACGGACTGCGGTGGACTGGTTCTGCCCGTGCTGGTACAAGAATTTTACCCCGTTCCTCACGGAGCGCCGAGGTGAGCGCGAGGCAGAGCGCGTCCCCTCGGGGCCTGCCCTGCCAGTGACCCTGGAGCCCCTCAAAATCTCCATGGGCATCGGCCCAGAGACCTCAGCCCTCCTTGTGCCGACCCCCGGGGTCTCCAGATCCTCCCAGTCCCGCCCAGTGCCCCCCCGCGCGTCCATTTCAGCGACCCGTAAAGTTGACGCTTGGCAACCAATGAGATCGCATCCAGTTCATGACTCATCTGTTGCCAGGCAGACCCGCAGCGCCGAGTGCCTCGCGCCGGACTCGACCTCCCAGTGCCGCGCACTTCATACCCAGTTCCTCCCAGTTCATCCAAGATCCCTCCCAGTGCCATTCCAGTCCCTCCAAGACCATGCCCAGTTCCTCCCCAGTCTCTCCCAGTCCATTCCCAGTCTCTTCCCAGTTCATTCACAGTTCACTCTTAGACCTCCACCCTCTCTCCCAGTTCCCTCATTCCTTCCCATCTCTCTGTGTCACCTAACTCCCTCCCAGTCTCTCCCACTCCCTCCCAGCACATTCCCAATTCATCCGAGCCCATTCCCAGTCCCTCCCACCACATTCCCCAATCCATTCCCTGTCACTCCGAGTCCATTTCAGTCCGTTCCCAGTCCCTCTCCAGCCCAGCCCAGCCCTCCCCTCTCTCTCCCAGCGCCCCGCAGCTGATCCCAGTGTGTCCCCGCTCTCTCTCTCCCAGTGCCCCTCAGCGTGTCCATCTCGCTGGTGCCCCCCTCGAGCTCCCAGCCCGGCCCCGGCCGCCTGCTCTGCTCCGTGATGGATTTCTACCCTGCTGCCATCCAGGTGAGGTGGTTCCAGGGCCAGCAGGAGCTCTCGGAGCACGTGGTGGCCACCGACGTGCTCCCCAACGGGGACTGGACCTACCAGCTGCTGGTGCTGCTGGAAAAGCCGCCCCGGCGCGGGCTCAGCT